TTTCTGCATATGATTAACTAATTATTACAGCACTATTTGTTGAAAAATCTTTTTCTACTACTTTGACTTTGTGCATTGTGAAAAAATCAGTAGAATATGTGTGGTCAACCATATGTGGGTTTATTTCTGGACTCTGTATTCTGTTCCACTCATCTATTTGTCTAACTTTACACCAATACCACAATGTTGTGATTACTCAATAGTTTTAATAATTCTTGAAAACAATAGTATTAGCCCTTCAAATTTGTTCTTTGTCAAGTTGTTTTGACTATTCTAAGTCCTTTAAATTTTTATATGAATTTTCCGGTCAGCTTGTCAATTTCTATAATAAGATCCTGCTGGGGATTTTACTGGGATTGTATTGAAGCCATAGAACAATTCAGGAAAAAATGACATCTTAAAAATATTGATCCTTCTAACTCAGGAACAATGTATATCTCTCTAATTATGTATATTATGTAATTATGTATATGTGTAATCTATATATATGTCATCTCTCTAACAATGTATATCTCTCTAATTATCTCTAATGTCCGTTAATTTCTTTCATGACTACTATGTCGTTTTCAGTCTACAGGTCTTTTTCCTCTTCTGCCAGATATATCCCTAGATAATTTATATTTTTTGATGCTATTATAAATGGGATTGTTATTTTGCTTCAATTTCTGTTTGTCAATTGCTAGCATATGGACATGTAATTGATTTTTGTATATTGATTTTGTATCCTGAACAATTGCTACCTTTATTAGTTTAAGGAGAGTTTTGGCAGAGTTAATTGGATTTACATAGACCTAGAGACGAGAAGTCGGCAAAGTATGGCCCCTAGACCAAATATGGCCTGGGGTCTGTTTTTGTGCAGTTTGTAAGCTAAGATTTATTTTTTTTTAATATTTTTTAGAAGGTTAGTAAAAACAAAACAAAAAGAAAGATGAATAAGTAACAGAGACTATATATGGCATGAATATTTACTATATGGTACTTTATAGAAAAATATTTTTACTATTAGGTATAATGTTAGCTATAAATTTTTTCATAAGTGCCCTTTATTAGATTTATGACATTTCCTTCTGGTTTTTAGTGTCCTGGGAGCTTTTATCTGGAATGAATGTTTGGCTTTTTTGGAAACTATTGAGATAATCATATGATCCCTTATTTTCAGGTTGATTAATATTGTGAGCTACCTTGATTTATTTTAAAATGTTGAATCGTCCCTGCTAATTCTAATATCTGTGTCAGTTCTGCATCAGTTTCAAGTGATTGATTCTCCTCCTAATTATAAGTCTTATTTTCCTGCTTCTTTGCATGCCTGGTAATATTTGATTAGATGTCACACATTGTAAGTAGTAGATGCTGGATATTATTTTTTTCTGTAAATCAGCTTGGGTTTATTTTTTTTTCTTTTTGGATGCAGTTAAGTTACGTGGGAACATTTTAATACTTTCAGATTTCAATTTATGAATTGTTAGGTGGATCTGAAGCAGTCTTTTTCTACTCTTTGTGTGAGTGCCAGAAATTGTTTCCTCCAATTCTTTCAGATGGCTCTTACCTTGGCCTCGGGTAGTTTACATACACACACGTGGTAGGTAATAAGTATTTGGGAATATTCAGGCAATATCCTTTGCAGATCTCTTAGGTTCTTTGAATGTAGTTCTCTCTGGTACTCTCTTCCATGAACTCCAGCTGTATAGGTTGTCCTGAATTCTTAGCTCAATTTCTTCAACTCAGAGAGTCTATCAACTCCTGCTTTAGTTTTCTGTCCATATGCCATGGTCTGAAAACTCTCTCAACGTAGTAAGCTGGGGCAATTATAGGGCTAACTTTGGTTTTTTGCTGTTTCTCAGAGATCACAGCCCTTTGTGGTATAATAGCCAGTGTCTTAAAAACTGTCGCTTTATGTATTTTGTCTGTTTTCTTTTTTTGGTTGTTGTTTCAGTTGGTAGAGTATATTGGTCCCTATTACCAAGCCAGGAGTGATATGACAATATCCTGTTACGCTTTTGAAAGGTCCATAAGCAATCTGTTATGTACATGATTTGTTTGAACTCAAAAACCTGGCTTATTCAAAGCAACATGTTGCTCTACTGCACCATAAGCCTTAATCCTCTATTAATTATTTTTCTCTTTCGCTTTCAAATTCAGTGACTAGTCTCCTCAACAGAAATGATGGCAATAAATAAGTGCCAGAAGTTCTGCAATTTATCTTGTATTTATAAAAACAGTATTCTGCCTCAGGCTTTAAGGTTATGAATTTGTCATTTTTATTTTTGCTTCTGAGAAGCATTAGGAGAAAACACAGAGAGATATATACACATTTCTATCTCTCCATAGTAATCTTGGCATATCTCAGTGCCTTTTTGCCAATCCTGTAAAGTTATTCTTTGTCACTGTTTTTATCTTTTGTACATTTTATTTTTAAATTTTTGTTTGTTGAAGAGTTGGGTTATTAATTGTCTTTATATTCTTTCTTGTACAGATCCATTGGGATTAGAGTTCCAGAATTTCATTTTTGGAGTCTCCCTTTAGGCTTAAGCTATATTTCCATTTATATATGCAATTATCAGTGAGACAATTAAAATTTTT